TAGCCCACAGCAGTCTTGGACCTGCTGGCTCCTGCACAGTGACTGCCTGGCCAGCCTCACTGTGCTGTCCCAGGTCCCCTGCCACAACACAGCTGCCATCTGGATCCTATTCTGCTGGCTGGACCCCAGCAGGGGCAGAAACAACATGCTTCTGGATGCCATCACCAGGGACATCTGTGTCCTCTCGGGCCTCCAGCCCCCACCTCTGGGCCCAATTGGCCAGCCAGGACTGGTGGCTGCACATTGTCCCGGCCACCTGGAATGACATGCAATGGCTGGAGGCATTCTGCATAATATGGGCCACCTTCCTGGACCTCCTGGAGCAGCTCCACTGAACCTGGAGTGGCAGGACACCACCATGCAGCTGCCTCCCCCCACAGACACCTGGCTGGCCAATCCCCTGCTCTAGCAGGCCACAACCACCAGTCTCCATTATGTCAGCCACCTCTTTGGCATGGGCAAGGCTAACAACCCATCCTAGAGGGTTGTGGTGCTCTGCAGGACATGCTTGGGCAGACAGTGCTCCATATGCATGACCCTCTTGGCAGTGGTGCTGTGGTTCTTCACCCTGGGATTCCCCCAATGTACTGGGGCTCTGGATAGGACCCAGATCCCCATCACCTGTCCACCCAATGGCAACCATCCCTACTACAGCCAGTGGGCCTTCCACTCTGCCATGCTCCAGCCCATTGTTGACCACTGCAGTGCCTTCACCGTGAGTGTCAATTGGGCTAGCAGTAACCACAATGCCTGCATCTTCCAGAACTCTGTCCTATCAGCCCTAGTGCAGAGTGGGAAGTTCATGACAGGGTTGCCAGGCCTTCAGCTGGGCATCATGGTTGTCTTGCCCCTCCTCATCAGGGACCCCACCTACCCACTCCTTTTCTGGCTCATGTAGCCCTACACTAGCCACCTGTACTTCCACTAGTCCCACTTCAACAGGTGCTTAGGCTGGACCCACATGCTTATGGAGCACACCTTTGGCTAGCTGAAGGGAGGTTGGTGCACCTTCACAACCCACTTCAAATTCTCTGAAGCCAACATCCCCTGGGCCATAGTCACAGCTTTTGTTCTGCATTAACTCTGCGAGGCCTGAGGGGAGCTCTTTTGCAGGGCCTAGGCAGAGAAGGAACAGCTGTTAGAGGCTGCCTGGCAGTATCCCAGAGCACCAGATGGCAGCTCCCCCCACTTCCCCGCTGAAGCCCTGGGAAAGCTGCACACCCACCAGAGGGGGCCAGGGCACTGGGTGTGAGAGGCACTGGCTGACCACCTTCTCCTCCACTCCCCACTGTAGCCCACCTGCACAGCTTCCCACAGACCCCCTGCCCACTACCCACCCCCAGCACTATGCTCACTATGGACAGGTCTCTGAAAAATACTTTACTGCCCTACACAAACAGATCCTCCTCCCCACTCCATCTCCAACAGAGCCCCTCCACCACCCACTCTATCCACCACCAATTAGATACCCTCTTCCCCATGTGAACTATTTATACATGCTGTGGTTCTGTGTGTGCCATTCCCAGGGTGGGGGGCCTTAGGGTGGGGGTGCCTAGCAGGTGGAGCCCAGGGACAAGTGGCTAGCACTCCAGCCTCTGGCCATTCCCCCACATGTACACATGCCTCAGCGAGTTCAGCAGCTGGGGGGCTTGCCCAGGGGCAACAGTGGCTGCTGATCTCCTGGTGCTGGTGGCTCCCCCATCTTGCAGCCAGTGGCCATGGCCAGCAGGACCAGCACACAGTCCTGGCTCTGCTGCAGGCAGTTCATGCTCTATGGCTGTGTGGATCTGGGATGAGCTCTGGAGCTCTTCCCAACATGCAGCTGTAGGACTTTCCATGAGAAAAAAAACCGTTTGTCAGTTTTCAACATTTCTGAGATAAGATGCTCTGTACCAGGGGTCTCTGCATGGCCTGGCCTCAGATCAGAGGTTGTGTGTATACAGGTGCTCATGAACAACGGTAAGTTGGGTGGGTGGGCCTGACCCAGATGACAACCAGCCAAGCCCCCCACCATCCTTACTTGCTCCCTAGGGGCCAATGAGCTGCTGGGTCCTGGCCACAGGAAGTCTGCCTCCCCCACCCCATTCCCAGGCCAGGACAGGCAAGGCTCTAGACCCCCACCCCCTCCTTCTCCTGAAGGTCAGCCTGTCTCCTGTGCTGCTGCCAAACCCATGGCACCTGGGCTTGGGGGACATGGGGTCCTGGATGAATGAGATGCAGAGCTGGCCATGCCCCTGCCCTCCCTGCATGGCCACTCCATAGCCACCCCCATGTCCACGCCATGCCCTGAGTGTGTCCCTGCAGTGCAAGGAGCTGTTTGAGTGAACTGAGGGGTGCCTGACCCACTACACCCTGCTGCTGCTGATGGCCATGGTGCTCTGGGTACACCTGCATGCCTGGCATGAGACCATGAGCTTTGACAGTGCAGTGGGCAAGCCCATGCTGCCCTACAACCTCCTCAAGTGCCTGGAGGGCTACCTGTGGCTGTGCTAAACATCTCTGCCCCTCTACTGCCAAAAAGGGCATTGCCACTGGCATTCAAGAGGCCTTTGCCTGCCTAGCTGCAGGAGCACAGACTGATCAATAAAGTTTTGCATG